ATAAATTTTGAGCAGCGATGGATATTTTTCTGGCTAGCAATTACTGCAACACAGGATCTGAATTAAGGGCGTGTCCCGCAGTGGGGAGTCGAATCCGCGCCAAAGGATGGGTTCCTTCAGGTCCGTGACCCAGAGCAAACCCGCTACATCAAATGGCGACTGACATTAAATAAGATAAAATGTTGTAAGAATTTGTAAAATGATATGGAAATTATAAAAGCTCTATTTCATTTTTTTCACAATGCCCACGTATGCAATGACAATACACGATAATTCTGTATGTACTTTAAGAAATTCTGAAAAATCTTATGTCACACTCCGATGTGAACAAAGATCTTATGACAGTGATACAATACCTTTACACAATTTCTGTCTGATACAATACCTTTACATAATTTCTGTCGATCTGTAAAGCTTTGGAGGCGTCACTCAGCGCGTAACCAAAACTCTCCATCCTGAGATGAGCAAAGCTGCGGTTTCAGTAATAAGCCACAACGTCTGTAATATCTTTATACAGGGTTATTTTTGCCCCGTTTTAAAATTCGCCCAGTCATAGTTTTGTTGAAGAAATTATGTTGTGAATTCAAATTCGCCCAAGAAAGAAGTGGACAAATGGGCGAAAATAAAACGGGGGCGAAAACTGTCCCGTATACAGTACGTTATGGCCTGGGAGTAATCGCCATCTACAAAATAATTATAGATACTTTATTTTAAAATATTGATATTACATGATGTTAATTATCAACTAGAGGTACTGTGAGCAATGAGCTCACTTAATGATACCCCCGCCTCCCATAATGTCGATGTGTTGCTTGATATTGTTTTACGGTAATGTGTAAAGAGGAATAACTCGTCCAATGAAATGTTATCCAGAAGCTTCTATTATGTGACGTCATAGGTAAACAAAAAATGGCAATGTCCATGTTTTGCTCTGGGAAACCTAAAATATGTGTCGAATAAAAAAGTAAAATAGGAGGTGCACAATGGCCATATGTAATAAAGATTCTGTGAAAGTTTCATTAAATTTCACTCAGTAGTATAAGAGGAGTTGCGGATAAGAGAAAAAGCGTAACAGACGGACGGACGGACAGACGGACGGACGGAAATCCCGATCACTATATACCCTCCCGCTTTTCAAGCGGGGGGTATAATAAGTAAATTTGTTTACATTTAAAATATCATGCTTATGTGCAAAAGTTTATAAGTTGGTGGTTATGATGGATAACCAGCAAAGTCAATGTAGGTTTGTTGTTTTCAGTAATATAAATGCTGACTTTGAACAATGATTAAAATACCTGAAACATCAACTTAGCTGACAATAGCTGCCAAGCTTTAAACAATGATTGAACTCTGAACATGCTCTTGAGTATCAAATTAGTTCGGAGATGAAAACACCGTATACAGGTGATATCAGACTATTTCATAAAAAAATAATAAATTTTGTTTATAAATTTAATAAATTACCAAAATATTTTTTAGCCAAACCAGAAGGCATATTTCTCAAAAAAGTTATCCGGTATCCGTTCATTGGCAAAAATTAAAAATTCTGTAATAATAAACTCCTCTGGACAAGGTAAAAAATATTCAATGATTGACTCACTAAAAGTTAAGGATATTCAATCCTCAGACAGGAAGGATAACTCTTTAATCTATAATTTTATTTCGAAAAGTCTTAATTTGAAGCTGGAAACCTTCTAGTGCAACACTTTTTATGTTTTTCAATGTGATTCATCCGTCCTTTGGATGAGACTGCATAAACTGAGATCCCTTGTCGCAGTAGGTTGTAACATGAAAAAGATCCCTCCCTGTTCAATGGCTCTGAGTTCCGAGAATACAACAAATTTTGCAGCTCTCCATCGGCAAGTGGTGGTATCTTCATATGAGTGAAAACAATTCGAGAGGGACGTTAAATAACAAAAAATTAATTAATCATCAATGTGATTCAATGTTCTTTGAAGGTTTTAGAAAAGGTCTTATAAGTTGATATTTTTATCCAACTAAAAGTATTTTCCACCCCCCCCACCCCCCCCCACCCCCCAACCCCAACCCCCCCCAACCCCCGATAATAATAATATAAACATTTGACTGCTATGAAATCAAAATTCCTTTAAATCTGACCGTACATACCAATGTTTATTAGCATGATATGGAATAATATTTCATCTGTGGTGATTTTAATGATGGGAAACATAAATGCTCTAAGAATTATATTAATAAATATAGAATGATTGAAGTAAAAACAAGAATCTAAAGTACCATGTACTAGTACATGTACAAATGATGTAAGTATATTGATTGTATTCTGTTTAACGTCCCTCTCCAGAATATTTCACTGATATGGAGACGTCACCATTGCCGGTGAAGGGCTGCAAAGGATGAGGTGACTTGCGGCCCCTCGTATACTGACAAAAAATTAAATGTCTAAATTTAACTCATATTTTTGTATGTAACTAATCACTGATATGTGTACCTTTATAGAATTATATTTTTAGCAAAAATAGAAACGTGATTTGAAAGATATAGGTCTTTTATTGGGATAGGGGTAGCATGTTTACATTCAATTCCCATAGCATTTTAACCCCGCCCCCCTCTTTGAAGCCCTTAAAATATACGAGCGCAGGTAGGTACAATTTTCTCCTTTGACTGGTCACTGTATTTCATTGAAATCTACCTAAATATGAAAGGAGAAAATTGTACCTAATTGCGCTCACATGCTATTTTTTAAAAATTCGTAAAATCTAGTTGGCCTTTCCCATTATAAACAGATCGACGGAACTAGATTTTCTGACGTAAGAATGAATTCATATGCTAATCGGGGCACAGGCGATACTTTTTAACTGACCAATCAGCTAAATGAAATTTGTTACGAGTGAGTACCACAAAAATACTTTGGAATCATGCTTGAAATTTTACTGCTTTCCAATATCTTTTTATGCATTTGAGTCACAGATTAGACACGGATCTACATATGTACCATTTCCGAGAGCACAGTAAAATTCATACACAATTACAAACAATTGATAAAATTTACATGATAAACATTAGTTTTAAGTTTTGTAGCGTGTTTGGTGAGCAATGCGCTAGGTCTACACGTATATTTCCCCGAGTATCGGGGAATACAAGTTTCAAGTGCATTTCTTGACCTAAAAACCGTAAATGCTGAAAATCCATGCGTATTATTAAGGTATCCGATCCATATTAGCCAAAAATTAAATGGAATTGAATGCCTTATAGATATGTATGGGCTGAATACTCAGTGTAGTTAGAACTAATTTTCATCTTTTAGTATCAGAATGTATGAGTTGGGCATGTCCTACTTTATGATCTTTTCCTGCCCCTGACGAGTTATCTCCCTTTGATTTAACGCAATAAAAATTAATTTTTAAAAATCTGTCTGGTAAAAAAATTATTTCTTATTTTTTTTCTTTTCCTAATGATCAAATACATCTTTCAACCTCAGCGTTTTTTGAGATTTGAAGTATTTACTTTTTTATCTTAAAAAAGTTACTTCCTTCTATAGATTTCATTCAATCTTCAATAATTAATTTCTCCTTAGGTAATAACATTTTTGAAAATTTCTTTTGGTAAATCCCTTCTAACTCTAAAATGCTGTTAAATAATTTTGGGATATTTTATAAACAATTGATATTTAAGGTTAAAATTTTTTATCCTAATATGGGTCGGATACCTTAAGTATGAACAGCATTGGCTGACCATTATAAAAGTTTGAAATGTAGAAAAGGATAACAGGTAAATTGACCTGAACCACGTGTGTGCGATAAAATGTAAACGTAGTAAACCAGCATGTTTTGTTGTTCTGTCATCGGATTGGACAATGACTAAGTGCGAAATAATAACAATAGCCATATAAAGTCTTCTCGGACACGCATATCCCTATATTGTACTAAGACCCGCCCATTCTCTTGCCATAAAAGAAAATATTCGCCCAAACCTGGCCGAATTTAGCTGTGGTAGGGTCTACAAAATCAAAGATAATGCAGTATTCCTTGTAATTAAAATGTGTCTGAACTAATGAAACTATTCAAAAGGCGTCGTATTTATTCACTCATGTTTGAAAACTACCAACATCGTTGTAGATTAAATATAATTCGTCGTGGAAAAAGGGGCCCCAGATAGCAGTTATGTCACATCATCATTTAGGCCTATGCTCGGCACTCAGGGCCTTTGAGCAGGGAGGGATCTTTATCGTGCCACACCTGCTGTGACACGGGGCCTCGGTTTATACGGTCTAAAAACTGTTATAAAACTTATTCAAGAGCCTGAATACTGTGAGTACTTATAACTCTCATTCTAAAATGTATTTATTGATCGATTTTCATTAGTAACTGCATAATTATTAGACAAATTTAATCCCCAGTATACACAAACCAGGAAGTTAAACACCTGTCTGATAGACAATACAAATACCACGTGATCAAAGTAGCCAGGGAGGAATTTGGTCAACAAACGCCATTACTGTCTAAAATCAGGTAGGACTCATACGATCTGACATTAATGCAGGCCTCATAGCCTAGTTTGAAAATTCAAAATATTACTTGAAAACAAAACATTATACATGTACATTACAAAGTTTCTTGTATTCTGAGATAAGGGGTAAATTAGTTTGACCCCTTCTCCCTCCAAGGAATTCTATAAACTGCATTCAATTATGATGGATCCAAAGAAGAGTTTGTATTACATATAATGTATGCATTTTGGGGTTGTCAATGTATAACTTATTCTTAAAATTTTGTAATGCTTAAGTTTTACCATCTCATATGGACCCATTTGTAGTTAATTTAAAGGACATCGGGGAGTTATAGAGGAATTTCTTTGTTCTGTTATTTTGACTGTTGTTTGACAATTTCCAACTCAAATATTTTTCATTCCTCTTCATGGACCAGTGAAGGCCTTCTAAATTAGGCCTTAACAGTGATGGTGTTTATCTTCTCATTGCCTACCATGTAAGGAAACCTCCATTCTAAGGTTTCCTCAGACAGATCTGTGATTTTAACGTTTTTTTTTTTGCATGTTTAACGACCTAAATTCAGTTCAGAATGATCAGACCAAATTTAAAAAATACCTTAACTTTAGCTCAGGAAAATTCATTGAAGTTTCAACATTCGTTACTTATCCATTAGAGAAAAATAAACTAGACACAAATATATATTCTTTTTCTGCTAGTGACCTTGGACTTGACAAAATTACCTTGATACAGGTCAATCAATAATAGTGATTATATTTATGAAATTATGAATATATATTAATCCATTTCAGATCCACACATTTAATTATGAACCCCCGTACGAGTGCCCAGGACGTGATGCGATGTGACCTGTGTGAGACCGCTGTGGTACAGATGCACTGTGATACGTGTCTTGTCAACCTGTGTAAGGCCTGTGTGGGAGAACACATGGTTTTTGATGAATCCAAAAAACATGACATAGTTCCATTTAAAATTCGAAAATCCACTCCCAAATATCCAAGATGCACAGTTCATGCTGAAGAAGGATGTGAAATGTACTGTACTCAATGTGACAGTCCTGTCTGCATCAGTTGTGTTGCATCTGATCAACATCTAGGCCATAAAATTGTGAAGATTGAGCAAGTTTTGGGTGAGAGAAAAAACAAAATTAAAAAAGATTTAATTGAATTGAATGAAAACATTTATCCCACCTACAAGGACATTGCCTCTGATGTACAAAACACAATAGGTAGGTTAGAAAAGGAATATGGAGATCTCTCAACAGCCATAACAAAACACGGAGAGGACTGGCACAGAGAAATTGACAAACTTATCCAGGAACTTAAAGCTGACGTTGATGAGTTGAAAAACACACAATTGAAAACTCTGCAGACACATTTGGACGAAATAAATAAGAAAATGTCTGAGATCAAGGACGAAATCGGCTCAATTACTGTTGCTGTTAAAACGAATGAGATTTCAAAACTATTCAATGTAACAACTGATATAAACAAGTATAGACAGCTTCCAGAAAACATAGTTCCCTCCATACCCAAATTCACGCCAGTAAACATAGAAGCAGAGCTTGCTAAAATATTTGGAGCTTTGCCATCAAGTTCTTTAACTTCAGATAAACATGGCTATAGCTTGAAGACTACACAAATCTCAACACAATCTGAGTCCTCCCCTCCAGTCAAACAGCTGCTTGATGAACCAGAGACAGACATAGCCATAGACACCGGGTTTGAATACCTTTACAACGTGGCCTGTCTGAGTGATGAAGAAATCTGGGCAAGTGGGATGGACAAAACAATGAAACTCTTTAGCATCAATCAGGGATCACTTCTCAAGTCAATCCCAACCAAGTCAGGGAGCGAGCCAATGGACATAGCTGTGACAAAAAGTGGAGATCTAGTTTATATTGACGAAAATGAAAGAACAGTGAACATTGTGAAGAATGAGAAGATAGAGGAGGTGATCAGACTACAGAACTGGAGACCTCACGGTGTCTGTAGTACCTCCTCTGGTGATCTCCTGGTCATTATGTACAATAATGATGACTGTCCGTCAAAAGTTGTCCGTTATTATGGGGCAAAAGAGAAACAAACCATCCAGTTCGATGATAAGGGTAAACCTTTGTATTCTTCTGGTTTGCTCTATTACATTACCGAGAATAGGAACCTGGATATCTGTGTATCTGACTACGAAGCTAAAGCAGTCGTGGTGGTCAATCAGGCCGGAAAACTGAGATTCAGGTACGATGGACATACTCCGGTTATGAAGAACAAACCATTCTGTCCACGAGGAATCACCACAGACAGTCAGAGTCACATCCTTACAGCTGATTATAGCAATGAGTGTGTCCACATCATAGACCAGGATGGACTGTTCCTCCGTTACATAAATTGTGGACTGAGTGAACCCTATGGACTGTGCATAGATATAAATGACAATTTGTTTGTTGCTGAATCGAAAAATAGAAAAGTGAAGAAAATCATATATCTGAAGATAAGTGAAATCTAAGATCGTATTCATAAAAACACCCTTGTTTTTTCTACAAGTTCATGCATATGGTATTGAATCGGTTCTTTTATGCAAAATAGAGAACTACAAACAATAAAACCCGCCAATGTACCTAAACCTCCATTATGGCATTAATGTAAAGGATGATATATGAATATGCATAAACAGTTCACAATTCATAAAACAGGAGTAATATATGAAATGAACTATGAAGAATCTGAAGGCGCATGGAATATAAACCATCTCAATGTGCATGATGTGTTATATGTGTATCTGTATGCTATGAACAAAAAGTGGTTTATCTGTTTACCCCTCTTTGTAAGGGGTGGGATTTTTTTTCAATTTATCAAGATTTTGATGAAATTGTTTCTTTTCTGGCTTGGAAATGTATATTTTTTTATTTATTTATATATTTATTTTTGTTAAGTTTTATGCCATAATTTGCTTTTGTTTAGTTATACATTATATCTGATAATTTACACTTAAATAGAGAAGTCACTAGCTCTAGGTATAATGCTAATAGAATCGCTGCACTCACGTCATTTGGAACCTTTTCGGCTACACGATATACTGTGCATGTACATAATATGGTGTATTACACTTTAGTGCAGTCACTGTGTATGGAGTTGTTGGCATAATTTTGAATTAGCGCTTCACATGTAGTTCAGTATGTTGTATATGTAAATGATTTCTTAGCAGTATTCATGAATTAGCGCATTGTTGTCTGGGCCAAAGCTACTAAAAAATGAAGGCTGCTTTTTTTCAGCACACATACAGTATCTGTTATCTATGCCTCACCAAAAAAATAAAAATTCTGTAGTAGTAAACTCCTCTGGACAAGGTCAAAAATAAAGATGATTATGATCGAGGCACTAAAATTCAAAGATATCCAATCCTCAGAAAGGAAGGATTAACTCTTTAGTTTATAATTTTAATTCCAAAAGTCTTCAATTAAAGCTTGAAATCTTCTTATGCAACAATTTTTTGTTAACTAAAAGTTTTCCAAATGTGATTCACCGGCCATTTGGTGGAGGACGTATAAACCGAAGTTCCCGTGTCACAGTGGGTGTTAGCACATAAGAGATCCCTCACTGCTCAACATGCTCAATGGGCAATGGCCCTGCAGTACCAAGTATACAACAAAATTTGCAGCCTTCCAATGGTGGCACCTCCATATGCATAACAATTCTTGAGAAGGATGTTAAACATCATACAATTAAACAATCATCAATGTGATTCAATGTTCTATGAAGTTCTTAGAAAAGGTCTTATAGGTTGATAAATTCATCCAACATTTAGTATTTTTCAAATTCCTTTATATATGGCCCCCAAAAAACCCATGTTTTTTTTTTAGCATGATATGAAATTAGAAGTCTTTTTTCGTGTTGGCTTTGGTAGGAAACATTAATGCACTTAAACATTATAAAATGATTGAAGTAAAAACAAGAATCTAAAGTACCATAGCCTTGTAAGTATAAAAAAATATTAATTTTAAGAGCCTAGTACTAAGTAATAACTAGGTAATAACTCTCATCCTAAAGTGTATTTGATTGATTGATTCTCCATTAGAAAATGCACAATATGTAAATTTAAGGGATAATATCCCTCTGCTCCACATTTCACGACTTTTTTTTTTAAAATTCCAAACATTGAAAATTTGATATGGTCATTAGAAAGATCAATTATTTTTAATCTTACAATTGAATTAGAAATATGAGGTGTATATAAAAATAATATTTACTCTCATACCTATCTAATTCCCTTTAGAAAACATACTGGAGCGATGCTTTTTAAATCAGAATATCAAATTGTTTTCTTTGCATGTAAAATAAGATGCATTCATAAGCAAGAGTTATCGTTCCATTATCGCCCTTGAAATTCTTTTTTAATGAAATGAAATATTAATTAAAAGTTTATAAACAAGCCTGCAGCTTTTATTTCTGTACAATTAAAAGACTTTCACGTTTAGAAATAGATTTTTTATCAATTTACACCGTTTAAAGGAACTGAGTGTAAATGTTTTAAGTAAACTATTCAAAATAGTTTTTGAATATACTAGCAATAGAACTAGAAATCAACCTCTGAACAATCTGATAGGCTTGCTTGAGTTAACAATAAATTGGTCCATATGATAGAGAATTGCAAACTCTGGCATGACAAATTACTGAATTTCATGACAAAATGTCTGCAGAAAGTTATCTTTCTTATCTGTAGAATTATCTCTCTTATCAGAGTATCAATGAACCTTAAATCCCCGGTACATACAAACCAGGAAGTAAAATACCTGACAGATAGATAACACAAAGCTTATGTGATCAAAGTACCCAGGGAGGATTTGATCAACAGATCGCCATCACTGTCTGAATTCAGGTAGGCCATCTTATGTTATATTAATCTGATATTAATGATGCAGGCCCTTTTTTGGCCTTTAGCATGGTTTGAAAATTCAAAATATTATTTGAAAGCAAAACATTATATACAAAGTTTCTTGACTTGTATTTTAAGATAAGGGGTAAATTAGTTTGACCTCCTTCTAGGCCTCTCAGAAATCTTTAAACTTCACTCAATTATGATGAATCCAAAGGAGAGTTTGTATTATTTACAATGTAAGGCACTTTGTGTTTGTCAATTTATTACTATTTTTTTTTTAGATTTTCAGTAATGCTAAAAGTTTAACCATCTCATATGGCCCCACTTCACTTGTAATTAAAAGGACAACAATGTAATATGGGGATTCTTGGAAATGGATTTTGATTGTTGTTTGACATTGCTTAATTTTTCACTCCTCTTCAATTACCAGTAAAGGCCTGCAAAATTAGGCCTACTATGTCAAAGGACCTCAATTCTAAGGTCTCATCAAATAAACCTTTCAATTTCCCTTAATTTTTTTGTGAATGACCATCAAGATCCGTTACTTTATATCCATATAGAAAAATTAACTAGACCCCGATTTATACCTTTTCTGCAAGTGACCTTAGACTTGTCAAAATGACATTGAGACTTGTCAATAAACAATACTGTGAAATCACCAATTTTCGTGGGGGTTTAATTTTCGTTGTTTTCGTGGTACAAAGAGACCCACGAATTTATGTCCACCACGAAATGTAAATTTTTATATGCACAACTACTGAAAAGTTCCTCATCCACGAAATCAAATCCCAACGAACCATCATTTTTTCCTTCAAACCACGAAAATTTGACCCCACGATAATAAATGATTTTACACTACTGATTTTATTTATGAAATAATATATATCTCCATTTCAGATCCACACATTTAATCATGGACCCCCGTACCAGTGCCCAGGATGTGATGCGATGTGACCTGTGTGAGACCGCTGTGGTACAGATGCACTGTGATACATGTCTTATCAACCTGTGTACAGCTTGTGTAGGAAAACATATGAAATCTGATGGATCCAAAAAACATGAAATTGTTCAATGCAAGCTTCGAAAAACCATTTCCAAATACCCAGGATGCACATTTTATACAGAACGATGTAAAATGTACTGTAAACAAAAACAGAAATCACCAGAAGCTGGATCCTCTCCTCCGGTCAAACAGCTGCTTGATGAACAAGAGACCGTCAACTCCATAGACACTGGGTATGGAAGCCTTTACAATGTGGCCTGTCTGAGTGATGAAAAAATCTGGACAAGTGGAGATGGCAACACCATGGAACTCTACAGCATCAATCAGGGATCACTACTCAAGTCAATCACAACCAAGTCAGGGAAGACACCAGGTGACATAGCAGTGACAAAGAGTGTAGATCTAGTTTATACTGATGACAGAGATAGAACTGTGAACATTATGAAGAATGAGAAGATAGAGGAGGTGATCAGACTACAGAACTGGAGACCTTGGGGTGTCTGTAGTACCTCCTCTGGTGACCTCCTGGTTATCATGGACAGTGATGGTTACCCATACAAAACAAAAGTTGTCTGTTACTCTGGATCCAGAGAGAAACAAACCATTCAATTTGATGATAAAGGTTCACCTCTCTATTCATCTGGTCCTTTTAACAGATACATAACTGAGAACAGGAACCTGGATATATGTGTGTCTGACATTAGAGCAGTAGTGGTGGTCAATCAGGCCGGGAATTTGAGATTCAGGTTCACTGGACATCCTCCTGCTCAAAAGAACAAACCATTCACTCCACGAGGAATCACCACAGACAGTCAGAGTCACATCCTTACAGCTGATTATTACAATGACTGTGTCCACATCATAGAGCAGGATGGACAGTTCCTCTGTTACATAGACTGTGGACTTAGGAGCCATCCCTATGGACTGTGTACAGATACAAATGACAATTTGTTTGTTGCTCAAAGGAGTAACGCACAAATTAAGAAAATCAAATATCTCAAGTGAAATCTAATACATGTACTTCATATTTACGAAACTTTTCTTTATGAAATTATATTTTCTCGTTCATTTTGTGCAATTCATAAAAAGCAAGCTAATTCAGAGAATTTGTGTCCCCCACTTAGGGAAAAAGTCAAGTCCCCCTGACTGAATTTGTAGAATTATTAAATGTATACATGTATACTGAAGCAAATAAAATACATGTATGTCAATATGCATATAAAGATTTGATTGCTTATTCTTTATTATGTGTATAGAAGATTCTTTTTATATGGAATATTTATCACACTTGTAATTGATTTCATAATCTCAAATTTTTTATTTCACATGCTGAATACTATCATTTAGTAATAAACTAGAACTGTCCAAACGGGACAAAATACCCCCGCTGGGTTTTTCAGAAGTAAGTTTTTCAATAATAAAGATATGTATCTAACATGAATTATGAAATTTTATTCCAGTGACCTTGAACTTCCCCAAATGACCTTGGGTCAAGTTCATGACACACTCTTGGGTCATGGGCAATCTTTGTGTGAAATGAGAACCTACCAAGTTTATGCATAAGAAAGATATGGACCGGACACGAATTATGAAATTTTTCTACCAGTAACCTTGAACTTCTCCAAATGACCTTGGGTTAAAGTCATGAAACACTCTTGGGTCATGGGCAATCTTTGTTTGAAATGAGAACCAACCTTTATCCATAAAGAAAAATATGGACTGGTCAAGAATATGATATTTTTACCAGTAACCTTGAACTTCACAAAATGACCTTGGGTCAAGTACATGGCACACCCTTCTGTCTTGAGCAAACTTTGTGAGAAATAAAAACCTACCAAGTTTATCCATAAAAGATATGTATCAAATATGATTTATGAAAATTTTCTTCCAGTGACCTTGAACTTTCCCAAATTACTTTGGGCAATCTTTGTGTGAAATGAGAAACTACCAAGTTTATCCATAAGAAAGATATAGACCGGACACGAATTAATTTGATTTGACTTGATTTGAATTCGCTGCTATCCCACTCACATCAAGTGAGTTTATCACCTATAAGACGAATCTAAGGGGTTGAGAGTTGAATATAATGTATAAATTGGTTAAATAATAATGTAATATCTTCAATTAGGGAGTGGATGTTAGTTGATTGACCAATGCTGAAAAGTGGAGAAATTCTCCCCAACAATGTGCAAAAAATCTTTTTTGCATAACAGGATCTGTAGCACTATGGTAAAAAAACTAAATTATAAAACAATAATGTTACGTTCTGCAGCTACTTATCTATCAGGAAAAGTTTTTTTGAAACGTGTAATTGTTATCTTTACAGTTATAATAATATAATCACGTGTTTAACCCTGACAGTTTGTACGAAAGCCTATTAGGATCAATCTAGAGAGAAAAAAAATTAAAAGGCGTTATAACGCCTTTCGAAAAGGCGTAATAACCCGAAAAAGGCGTTATAACGCCTTTCCATTCCAAAAGGCGTTATTACGCCTTTTAAAAAGGCGTTATAACGCCTTTCTAAAAGGCATTATAACGCCTTCCCATTCTAAAAGGCATTATTTCGTCTTTCTAAAAGGAGTTATTTCGTCTTTCCAAAAGGGTTATAATGCTTTTCCAATAATCATTATTTTAACAGGCCCGTGCTTTTAACAACAACAACCCCCCCCCCCCCAACACCACCCCCACTCTACTGGCAAAATTCGAGGGGGGGGGGGCTTTCGGTAAAACATTGTTTAAATGCAATAATTTGCCACAGTTTTACACACTGCAACAAACTGTTCAGGAACCAAGCACCCAATAGTTAATTATGATACTTAAACTGCAGCACTGAAGACTTTTCCCCAAAAGTGTGTGTGAAGGGGGGGGGGGGGGGGGGTACCCCATTCGCACTCGTTCTACTGGCCTACTTGAAAAGGAAAATGGAGAGGCGTTATTTTATGTTAATAAATATATGAAATATTTAATTAAAACCATCTTTATTCATGCAAATCTCTATATTCCTGCAGATCACACTGACAACTGTTTGCATTCGTATTAAGAGAAGGCAACACTCTTCTTGTGAAGATACGATATAAACAAATGTATCTTGGCGCTTTGGCTGCAGTGGATTAAAATTCATATCATTTCAAGATATTTTTCTCTCTTCTTGGAAAAAAGCAGGCAAACTTTTTGCATAAGTATAATGAGCAATTGAAATCAATGATCCTTGGAAGAGGTGTGTCTGGTATTAAAGAAGGACTTATTTAATTCAACATTGAAAATATATGGAGCATTGATTTAAAAAACTTTTATCCTGGAAATCTAATTGTTATCTGTTTAAATTATTTTTTTGAAAAATTAGTCCTATATCAAATTGTAAAATTAATGTTCCAAAGGTAAGATTTCTGCACACCCCCCTCGGTTGGGCTAAATGTGTTTAGTCATGTATTTAAAATAAAGACGTAATAACGCCTTTTGGAAAGGTATAATAACGCCTTTTAGAAAGGCGTTATAACGCCTTTTGGAAAGATATAATAACGCCTTTTCGAAAGGCGTATTAACGCCTTTTAGAAAGGCGTAATAACGCTTTTTGGAAAGGCGCAGGCACGTAGTATCCGGGGGGGCAGGGGGGCCTGGCCCCCCACTTTTTTCCCTAACATTACCTTTACTATAGAAAATGTCTATTGAAAAGACCATTGGCCCCCCCCCACTTTTTACCACAGTATATACAAATAAAGAAATATAGGAAAAAATTGGAAGTGAAAGGAAGTTCGACTTGAAAAAAGTTGGCCACTACCCCCCCCCCCCCCCCCCCCCCCCCCAAGAAATAGGATTTTCGAGTTTGGGTAAGTCTCAATTTTCCTTTTTTTTTTTTTTTTTGCTTGTTAACTTTTTTTTTAGGTAAAGAAAAAAAAATTTTCTGAGGTTGGCCCCCCCACTTTCAAAAACGATGCTACGTGCCTGAGGCGTAATAATGCCTTTTGGAAAGGTGTAATAACGCCTTTTGGAAAGGCGTAATAACGCCTTTTTGAATGGAAAGGCGTAATAATGCCTTTTAGAAAGGCGTTATAACGCTTTTTGAATAGGCATAACAACGCCATTTGGAATGAAAAGGCGTAATAACGCCTTTTGAAAATGCGTTATAACGCCTTTTTTCGCGTTGTTACGCCTTTTCGAAAGGCGTTATAACGCCTTTGAAATTTTTTTTTTCTCTAGATTGATCCTAATATAGGCTTTCGTAAGTTTGCTAGTATGAGCATGTTTTACTGTCAGTGGCAGTTCTAGGAAGGATTTTTCCTCTTCCACTTAATGTCAATTTAATGTTTAATTAACCTTATTTTAATGTTTTTGGCTCACACACTTACAGTGATTGCACTTGGGCTATGGGCTACGATAGGGTGTGGTATATGTTATCCAGTAATTGAGAATGATCCTTAAATGTTTACAAAAAAATGTAGGATGTTAAAATGTAAGGCTCATGATTGAAATTTAAAAGTCAAAAAGTTCAATTTTCTTGTTTCTTCATTAATGATTATTTTATTGCCGTGCATTTTCTTTTTTTTTAATTTTCTTTTTACTTAGTTTTCTCGTCACCGAAATAGGATTCACAGAAATTTTAGTTATTACTGCCACTTTTTATGCCCCTGTAATTTGGGGATAGGTGGTTTTTGCCCCGTCCATCTGTCTGTCCAGCTGTCTGTTTTGTCCTCAAAAACTTTAATATTTGTCCATAGCTTTTGAGTGGGTAGAGCTATGGCTTTCACATTTTACAGTTGTATTTCCTTGTGACAAAAACTTTCTTCGGGTTCCACCAAATTTGACCTCATGACCTTGGAGTTTGACTCACTTTAACCAAAAAAAAAACAACTTAATTTTAAACTTGCATGGCCATAAATTTTGGACAGTTGATGTTGTCATACTTCACATGTGTATTCATTGTGACAAGCTCTTTCAATTGGTATATAGGAATTTATATGATAAGAGCTAATTTTGGCCCCCTAAAAATCAACATTTTAGAATGACATTCAGATATGTTTTATTTATATTTATTTTGTAACAGAGATTATATATTATTAGAAATATTTCCAATACATTTTTAACATTCATATGCTCTCACTAGCTGTAAATGACATGAGAACAAATGCTATTTTTGCTATCTAACAAACAAGAGGCCGACGGGCCTTATAGGTCACCTGAGCATTATGCAACAACTTTCCAATTATTGAATTTGATTCATGTTTCAAGCCAGATGCTATATGGCATTCACAATTTTGAAAGAGGCACCATTGATCATCATAACAAAACACTTAGCAGTTGCTTAGCTTGGTTACTGAATAACCATACGCAGAGTAGGGGAACAAAAATGCATTCCAACTAATCAGTAATATTCAGCAATAAACAGTAGTGCTCCTAACACTGTGACAAAAACCCCTGACCCTAGGTCCACACATTGCACAAATTTTAAAAAGGCACCCTTAAAATTGCCTATAAAAAAATAAAAAAATGTTTTATAAATACAAAGGAGCAGATTTCAAACAATTAATTCATTTTCAGTATATAAGTAGAGCCCACCTCCACCCCTGACCCTGGGGCCTTGAAATTCACAATTCTGCAAGATTAGGGCCCTTGCTCATCATAACTATAAAGGTAGTTCATCTGCTTCAAACCCAGAGACAGAAGAAAATTTTCAGAGATTTAATGTATTTTCACTATATAATCAATAGAGCCCCACCCTATCACAAGAACCCCTGACCCTGGGATCAAAAAATTCACAATTTTGATTGAGGCACTCTTGTTCATTATAACTATGCACTTAGTTAGTTTATTTAA